CTTATAAGCTCCTACATCTGATAAGATGTTTTAGGAGCTGATAAGCTGTTAGATCTTATTTTAAAAATTATTTTTTAAGGTGTTTGGATATTAGCTTATAAGTTACTTTTTGTTTTTATAAGTTGTTCAGGTGTTTGGAAATAAAAGGTCTGTTTATTGCTATAATGACAAAAAAGTACATGATGCCAGTATAATTGTTAAACTTATTTGACTCAAATACTTTTGTTCCTAAAATATTATTATAATATTTATAAATTATTTTTTCAAATAATAATAATAATAATATTAAATTATATAATAATATAAAATAAAAGTTGTAAGAGAAATATAATTTTTTTTAGATGAAAGAAATATAATTTATTATGGAGATAATAAGAATATTCGTGTATTTTTATATACATATAAAATATAAATAGAGAATATTTTTTTTACAATTATTATGATAATTACGATAATTGTATTTAACTAATTATTAATCTTGATTACAAGAATACGTTGTTTTGATAAAATATAAATATTATTAGTATTCATGTAATATAATAAAATATTTGAGGGTAATTTTGTATTTTAAGTGTTTTAGTAAATAAGCAAATAAGATCTTAAAGAAAAAAGGTGGGGTAGAGGTACTTTTTTAAAAACATCTTATAAGCTCCCTAACAGCTTATTTTTTGAAAAAATAAGATCTTTTGCAATTTTTTTACCAAACACCTTTTAACAACTTATAAGCTCCTAAACATCTTATAAGATGTTTTTAGGAGCTTATAAGCTTAGCCAAACGGGCTCTAATTCATGCATGCATGGAGAAAGAAGATGAAACGAATTCGCGTCAATTAAAAGAGGTTATTGCAAAAACTACCCCTGTGAAATCTCTAATTGTCAAATACCCCCCCTGTGGAAAAAAATGTGACCAACTCCCCCCTGTGTTATCAAAGTCAAAGCATCTGGACCCCTGAAGCTAAATCGTGTATCTCACGCGCACTTTGTGCGAATATTTCTTTGTTTTCACTTGTGAAATGTCATAAATGCCCACCCCAATCCTATTTAAAATCCCCAATTCTCTTCTCTTTTCTTTTCTTTCAATGCCCTAATTGCAGCCGCTCAAGTTCAACCTTCAATTGCTCTGTGATTTTATCTCGATTTCCATTGATATTCTGATAATGTCGTCGTATTCGTCTAGCAACACAGCGAGGAGAAGTAATTCGAAGCCATTAATGGATTTGAGGTATGGGATTACTCCTCTATGTCTATGCAAAATGAAAGCAATAATAAAAGTGGTTGAATCATCAACGAAACCATCAAAGGGTAAGTTGTACTACTCCTGTGAACATCGATGCTGCAATTTTTTTCGTTGGTGTGAACCAACTCGAGCAACTTGGGAGCCGATGGGGGTTGCTGTACGATTTTCGAATTGGGAAGCCTCTGCAGAAGGTTTTTCGGATGAAGTAGATGAGCCACGTGAAGTAATGTCTAACGGGATTGAAGGAAGAAAAAGTGATGCAATTTTGCATATTTCTTGGGTTATTTGTTTAGCATTGTTTATTATGCTCATTCTTTTGTTGTTGAAGCTGTAAAAAAACCTTTTTTAGCTATTTTTGTTTCAATTAGTTTCAATTATGATTGTAATGAATGAAGCTTTGATGTTGGAATGAAGTTTTTTTTTCTTATCATTTTTGTTTATGTTTATGATTCTGTTACACATTTCTTACAAAATGAGAAAATTTGTAATAAAAATTGGCAAAAACAACCTTGAAATGAAATGTAATTTGCAAAAACAACCTGTTTGCTACAAAAAATGCAATCACACACATAAACAACTCCCTGTTGCTAAAAAATATGCAATCACACACATACACAATTACAAAACATGTACACAAGTTACTAAAAACATAATCTTCCAATTAGGTTCAAGTTCAAAACCTAAATGTCATCCAAAAGTGATAATCATCTAGATTCAAAGTACAAAACCAATCACAGCCAAATTCAAGAGAAATCATACACAAACTATCCTAGTCAGTAGCCTTCAAATGCCTTCAAATGCAGCCAAAACAATTACACAATTTTCAAAAGCCACAAACACACACACAAAGGACTTCTAAGGCTTCCACTGTCTCCTTCTCTTGGCATTCTCCCTTATATTTTGCAGAACTTGAGAGATCTCTGGCTTCCTTATCCTTTTATTGGCAATGGGGTTGCTTGAACTTCCTCCAAGTAGGGTTGCATTTCTCCTTCCCACATACACCTACAAAAAGAAATTTAAAAAATAGAGGTAAGTTGCAAACATATAGCCATCTCAATAAAAAAAAAAACAAAAGAGAGAGAGAGAGAGAGAGAGAGAGAGAGAGAGAGAGAGAGAGAGAGAGAGAGAGAGAGAGAGAGAGAGAGAGAGAAAACACTAGTATCATACAACCTTTCCAATTGTTGAAGGAGTATCATACAACCTTTCCAATTGTTGAAGGCTGTCGTGCTCTTTCCAAACCTACTCCTGATTCTTGAGTAGAAATAGGAGCTGCAGCAGTTGTTTCAGCATTTGCTTGGGCCATTCTTTCAGTACTTGGTGCAACAGAATTACTTTGAGACCTTGGTGCTGTGAAGTTCCTTTGTGCAGAAGGGTTACTTGGGGTAGTGGATTTCCTTGGTGCATAAGTGGTTTGACCTCTAGTTGCAGAACTGGTTTGGGCTCTTGGTGCAGAAGTGGTTTGGCCTCTTGGTGCAGAAGTGGTTTGGGCTGTTGGTGCAGAAGTGGTCTGGACATTTGGTTCACCACTGGAATTCCCCTATGACACATGCAGTAATTGATCAAAAATCTATAATAATTATACAAAATGTACAAGAAATTATGTACATAAAAAAAAAGCTTACCTTGTAAAATTTAGAGGCTGGATTTGTTGGATTCTTACATGATGCCCGGTTATGTCCTTGCTGAAGGCAATTCTTGCATGTATGTGTGAGGCCTCTTCTTGTTGAAGTCCTATGAATCTCATCAGGGGCCTTCCTTCTCAACCTCTTAGGTCTCCCAGCCTTTTTCTTGTACATTGGGGGTAGAAGTGGCTCATGTGAAGTGATTATGTAGTCTCTTGGTCCAGGAACTGCATGTACCATGTGACTATAAGCCTTCAAATACATGCTTTTTGAATAACAGTGGTCCACATAGTCTTCTACTTTCAACCTTCTGTCCAATATACAAGTCCATGCATGGGGGCATGGGTATCCATTGAGCTGAAACATACCACAAGTGCAGGTCCTCTTGTCAAGATGAACCACATATCTATCAGTATATGCTTCAACCTCAAATTCATCTCCCCCACACCATCTTGGGAAACAGTTTCTTGCATATTTCTCATACTTGTTGATCTTTTTAAGTATGTTTGGACAGATTTGGCACTCATACTTCTCCATGCCCTCCCTTTTTACCTGAATTCTGGTTGTTAGTCTTGCTCTGATCCACTCAAACATACTAACAATTGGCTTCTCTCTTGCTTGAAGAATGAAGTTGTTGAAAGACTCACACAGATTATTCACAACTACATCAGAGTTGCATCCTCTTCTGAAATAAGCTCTACACCAATGGTAAGGCTCTATCTCCCTCAACCATTTGGCTGCCCCTGCATCAATCCTCTCAATTGCCCTCAAATGTTGTTGAAATTCATTAGTATTTCCTGTTGAAGCAGCCCTCCACAACAACTGTTTTAACTCTAATGAAGTCCATTTTTGTTTAAAATTTTGGTATATGTGCCTAACACAGAATCTGTGAGGACACCTGGGGGCAATCTCCTTAATGGTCTCCAACAGCCCTTTCTGTCTATCAGAAATAAATGTCCACTTCCCATCCTCAGCACCACCAATGACATCCAACAATTCAGACAGAAACCATGTCCACATCTCCCTGTTTTCAATAGGAACCACAGCAAGAGCAATTGGGAATAAGTTGTCATTCCCATCCCTACCAACTGCACATAACAGTTGCCCCCCATGTGGTGTTTTGAGAAAACAGCCATCTAGACCAATCAATGGTCTACAACCTTCTAAACATCCCATCCTCATGCCTTTAAGACTGAAAAACATTCTTTCAAACACTGGGGGGTCAGAGAGATACAACTTCATAAGCAATACCTTTGTTCCAGGATTAGTGCTTCTGAGGGTCTCACAGTAATCCCATAATTGGGTGTATTCTTTCTCATCTTGGCCTCTTATCTTGGTCATTGCTACTCTTTTTGCCCTTAATGCTTTCCAGTAACTAGATTCAACCCCAACCTTCCTCAGTATACTGTTTTGAAACTTTTGAATACCAATATCAGCATTGTCTTTAATGCCTTGTTCCATCCTCATTCCAAGATACTTGGCAGTGGCATGTTTGTTCTCCCTTTTTCTTGAACATGTGTGCTCACCTGTTAGGGTCTTAACCTGCAAACATAACATATAAATTCATTAATATCATTGGGATCAAAAGAAAACAATGAAGAAACATAAACCAAAAGAAAACACAATACCTGAAACATTTGACTTCCTTGAACAACAGAGGCATGGATCCTCCATTTGCAAGCCTCTTCCTTGCATGTTGCAGTCACTCTTGTCCTTTCATTCTTTAAGTACTCCAGTTCATATCCATTTCTAACAACCCAATCTATAAGTGCTTTCCTATAAATGTCTACATTTGGAAACTTCATACCAACTTCAAGATTTCTGTTTTTCATTGTTTCCCCTTCACTGAAACTAGGAACTCTTCTCCTCTCACTGTCTAAGAAATTCAGATTTTCAATATCATCTTCATCATCAACATCACTATACCAATCAGTGGTCTGTTGAGATGGATTGACTCTGCATTTTTTATACCTCTGGACTGACCTCTTTTCCTTGTTCAGCATTTGCCTCAGTTTTCTAGCTAGATCTTTCTTACTTGAATTTCTGTCCAAAAAGATATCATCGTCAGAGGAGCCTTCAATGTCAGCGAACTCTGTCACTTGGGGCATCAGAGGGTATATCATCGATCACCATCTTCATTGTCAGATTGGAACATGATCTTCATCTGAAGAATCATCTTCAAATATTGGTGCATCTTCTTTATTAACTGGCTCATCTTCATTCAGTGATGCCTCCTCTTCATTCAGTGTTGCCTCTTCTTCATTCATTGGTGCCTCCTCTTGATTCAGTGGCTCTTGATTCAGTGTTGCCTCTTCTTCATTCATTGGTGCCTCCTCTTGATTCAGTGGCTCTTGATTCAGTGTTGCCTCTTCTTCATTCATTGGTGCCTCCTCTTGATTCAGTGGCTCTTGATTCAGTGCTGCCTCATCTTCAGTAATTGGTGTCTCATTTTCCTCCTCTTGATTCAGTGTTGCCTCCTCTTCAGTCATTGGTCTCTCATTTTCATCCAGTGCCTCCTCTTCATTCAGTGGTGCCTCATCTTCATTCATTTGTGTCCCATATTCATCCATTGGTGCATCATCTTCAATGTTTACAGTCTCTACTGTCTCTCTTGTATTCCCTTCACTGTACTTAAGCAGGAGAGTTTCCCCTTTATCCACAATCACATTTCCATTCACATCAATTGCAATTAAAGGTTCTCTGTCATTCTCTTCTGCGTACAATGTTAGGTGGTCTAAGTCTTCATGTGCTGACACTAGGAATTGGATACTAATATCATCTTCAATCATCCTCAATCCCTCATGAAGTGATAGCCCAGGATAAATTTAGTAGAACTGAATATTAGTTTTTTTCCCCCCACTCATACGATATATCTGGAATAGGTTATCTAGGTTCATGTAGTCTAAGCAAATTCGATCCACTACTTCCATTTTGCCACCTACATAAGCCAGTTTGGGTGTATGGACAAATTTACCATTCAACCAAATAGTAACTGTACACAACTTGTTCATTCTGCATAAAAAATGGTAAAAACAGTCAAACACAATTGTTCAATTAATTATTATTATTACTTTGCAAGTTCACCAACAAAGTAACAAAGTGCCCTACTTCTACATACCCCACACCATTTTTTTAAAATTTTCAATTCAAACAACAAGACAACAAAAAATGGTCATAAAAAACTGATACCAAAAAATAATTAAAAAAACCCTACAAAGCAAAAAATCTTGTTGTTACAGACAAGCAAACAAAAAAACAGATCCCCACAAACTAAAATATTAAATGTAGCATTTCTCAAAAAGTTCCCAACTCGCGAATATAATATACAAAACCTTACAAATACAAAAGCCTACGTACTTTAACATTCCCACAACTCTAGTTATCGAGAAAAAAGATGTGGTTTTTTCAAATAACACAAACAAGACAGAATACTACAAACCTTAATTCTTGACTCCGTATCTCAAATATGACTTCTTGGCGCCTTCAATCGACGAGAGGGGAAGCTATTTCAAGTTTCAATCGACGCAAAAAGCATTTTTTCACAAGCAGATTCAAATTTTTTTTGGGGAATCGTGTTTTAGGGTTTTCAGAGGTAGGTGTAATTTGGGAGCGAGAGTGAAATAGAGAGAGTGAAAATGGGTTTACTGCTGTTTATTTCATTGAGGGGTATAATGGTAGTTTCACACGCGGTCAATGTTTAAAAAAGCAATGGGTGCGGTGAGCTTTGTAATTCATAACAAGGGGGGAGTTGGTCACATTTTTTTCCACGGGGGGTATTTGCCAATTAGAGATTTCACAGGGGTAGTTTTTGCAATAAGCTCTCAATTAAAACGCCGGCCCATTTTTTTTTTTTTTTTTTCTTTAAGACAAATCTTTTGACAAATTGCGAAGATGTCCATATACTATACTCGTACCGAGTTAATATATCGTTTTCATTTTTTATTAGGGAATTTTATTAAATTAATATTTGGTTTTTTTTTTTTAAGACCATTACAAAAATTGACTTGCTAGTTGAAGTACGCGTTCCTGTGTCCAGAATAATTTGTTAGGTGCAATAAATTAAAGATTTTGTTGGTTGATTTATTATATAATATTATGTAATATATATATAAACAAATAAGAGTGCTAAAAAAAAGGATAATATGCATGACAACTCTCGAATCAAACCTAATTAGATGTGAATGACAACTTCAAATAGAATATTTTAACTAAATTCTTAGTTCAAAACAAAATTTTAGATATATCTTTTTATTTTCTTTTAACCCGAAAATACCCTTAATATACCTAATAAAATACCACGTGATTTTCCCATTCTCTATCTCTCCCTATCTCTTCTTTTGCGCCGGCACAACTCCTCCCTTCTATCTCTTTCTCTTTTCGTTCTATATTATTTTTGTGCCGCCGCCCAACATCTCCCGTTGACTCCGTTTTTTTTTCTTTTTATGTATTTTTAGTAGATCTGAATTTTTTTATATATTGAGGCAGAGAACAATAGATCTGCAATTAGCGTCGGCGATTAATCCGGAAGAGCTTTGCGCAGCAGCACTGCTGACCACACTCGCCTAGGTTGGTGGGGAAGGGGCGATGCCATCACCGTCATCACCGTTTGTGCGTCTGGTTAGGGGGCGGCAGAGAAGGGTTGCTGATGTGTTTCGACATCGTTGACATGCTAGTGCACCTTTTCGACAGCGACTAGGGTTGGTTGTTGTGAATCCATGCTACGTGTGTGTTTAGTTGCTTACAAGGCGATGACGGCTCAACGGTGGCTGGTCTTCGTATGCTGGCGGCTCTCGGGTTTAAAATGGTGAAATTAAATATGAATTTTCAGAATGACTATAGCAGTCTACGGCGACGGCGTTGTGAATCGAAAGGTCGTCGCTAAGGTTCAAGAGGGCGGATCTAGGATTTCAGGGTGACTACAGTTGTTTACGGAATACTACAAGTGACTACGGGTTACTACGGATGACTATAAATGACTATGTAGAACTATGAGTGACTATATTATGATTCATATTCGGCATTTCACGATAAAAATCAATTAAATAATAGTTAAAAATATATAAAGAAAATTAAATAAAAATATGAAATAATAAATTTCTATATTATATCAGACAAATAAAAAAATACGAAAAAGAGAGAGAGAGAGAGAGAGAGAGAGAGAGAGAGAGAGAGAGAGAGAGAGAGAGAGAGAGAGAGAGAGAGAGAGAGAGAGAGAGAGAGAGAGAGAGAGAGAGAGAGAGAGAGAGAGGCGTTCTACGTAAAAAAATTATAACAAAAATGACAGATGCAAAAATTAAAATGTAAAATGTAAATGCAGAATAAAAAAATAATAAATGTTGTTTAAATAATACTTGATGCATATTTTATTTTTTTGATATGAGGGTATTTTTGGAATGAAATTTTTAAATGATGTGAAACAATTTTTTAGTTAGACTTGTCATTTGGTTCAAATAAGTTTTGTCATCAGGGACATATATTCCTTCAATATTTATGGGGAAAATTTGACGGCCCTGGGATTAATTGGATCAGATGGCAAAAGATTAGTCAACCGAACGAACTAGGTTTTCGATCCCTCATTGATACAAAGAAGATTATTGCGGGCAAATTGACTTGTAAAGTTTTAGAGGGTAAAACCCTTTGGGGCTCGTTTCGTTAGAGCTAAATATGGGGCCGAGTTTCGAAATTCAATTCCAAGCCATGCCACGTTGCTTTGGAAAGATATTTCCCCACACCTCCAGCTTTTGGAGAACCATAGCCGCGCCGCCGGATCATTTGCCAAGGGAGTATTGATTTCTGCAGAGTTAAATGGTTAGAAGACGATTTTCTAGATGCATCTCGTTCATCTTCCTTAAGGGAGGCGAAATTGCAGCCTTACCTTTTTCGACTGCACCTTCGATCGGAGCAAAAAAATGATTTTGATCTCATTGAGCTTGATGAGAAAGTTGAATATCGATTAATTTTTACAAAATCAATTTACGGAAATTTAAAGTGATTGCATATTGGGAGTTAATTCGTCGCAGTGCTTCTACACACCCTCTGGCGAAAAAAAAAATATTTGGCATTCCAAAATTCCTCACAATATATGTATTTTTTTCTGGAAACATGCTTACGTCGCAATTTCGGTTGATATGGTTCTTCGATGTCGTGGCTGCATGACTCCTTCTAGATGTCGTTGTTGTTCTATTCCCAAACAAGAAAGCATTACACATTTGTTCGCCCAATCTGACATTGCTAGAGGAGTTTGGAGCTTCTACTCGTAGATTTGACAGAAACCATATTTCTATGGGTCCATGCAGCACCTCATTCAAACTCGGTTGGACCCGACTAAGCTTCACAGTCAGGATAGTATTATGGCCTATGGAATTCTCATGTTCAGTTGTTGGGAAATTTGGAAAAGTCGGTGTCAGGCAATCTTCGAAGATATTCTGATGAACACGATTACCATTACACGAAATATATTCCCTACACTTCAAGCTTTGAATGACAATTTCGTGGCTACACAATCGCGCACACCATCGGGTAGACTCATTATTCAACAATTAAATTTGAATATTCGTCCACTGATTTCTCCTCAGTGGCTGTTGGATCAAGTGGAACCGTACGTCCAACCTCTTGTCAAGTTAAGGTCAACGTGGATAGTTCAGGGCAAGGGGCTTTTTGCTCCGATGGTGGAATTTTGCGGATTCATGATAGTTCAGTTGTTCGAGGTTTCTCCCATTTTTATGGACAAGGAACTCACCTTTTTGCAGAAGCTCAGGCTATTTTAGAAGGTTTAAGTATTTGCCAAGAGATGGTCTTGCACAAGTTATTATTGAGTCGGACTCCAGATTGATTGTTGACATCATATATAATCACATCGCTGTTGCATGGGAGGTATTTTATGTCGTCCAAGGCATTCGACGAATGCTCAAGGAAGATTAGCAAGTGAGACATATTTATCGAGAAGGTATATATTTGGGTGGCCGACTTTCTTGCTAAGGTGGCTCAAGATCACAGAGATATGAATCTATATGTAGCAGCAACTGAGTTTCCTCGATTTATTAGATCTTTATTTATTTTCGAACGGATCGGCATCCCTAAATTTCGTAAATCAAGATGCACATGAGGAGGCAATTGAAGAGGAGGTCAAACTTGGTGGTCGTTTTTTACATGCTGAACAATTTTCAATATTTGCTCTTTTAGCATTGGTGGGGATCGGTTCACATTTTCATCAATATAGTTAGCCTAGGCAGTTTAATTTCGTTTATTTCATTTTCGCCCCTTTTGAGTTTATGTGTAATAAAATTAGTAGAAACCGTACTGACTTTTTATTATCATTGTAGGTGTACTCTTTTCCTTTGTGTAGGTCCACAAGGACAAGGTTTTAAATAGTGGAATATATATATATATATATATATATATATATATATATATATATATATATATATATATATATATATATATATATATATATATATATATATATATATATATATATATATATATATATATATATATATATATATATATATATATATATATATATATATATATATATATATATATATATATATATATACATATATATATATAGAGATAAAATAAATATATATATATATATAAAAAGAGAGAAATATATATATACCCCCCTGAAGAGAGACAAACATACAAACACACCGAGTGTGAGAGAAAAATTGCCAGCCCCCCCCACACACCCCGAAAGAGACACACTCCCAGAGAGAAAGAGCCATCTTGTTGAATAATACAACCACCCCCTCAAC